CCCCAAGATCATGACCTGAGCTGAAGGCAGAGGCTTAACCCACTGAGCCACCCAGGCGCCCCTTGGGTTGTCTTTCAACCAGCATTTTCAGAGAATCCAGGCACTATGACCTTCACCGGAAAACAATTTGAAGGTGAGGGTGGGGGGCGATAGTGTATGTTTGCAATGTTAACTCTAATACACATTATACTTCCTTCCATGAATCATCCCATAGTCACTGGGAGTGGAGGGAAACACATTTGTCAGTTTTGGAGGAAGAACTAGCTTCAGAGAAGAGAGCTCTCAGCTCTCTTTCTCCAATGTGCAGACTTGGTAGAGCTAAGAAGGACCATCCTACCCTGCATTTGTATGAAACTTTAGGATTGATTAAACACTTATACTCATTACTTGATTAGATGCTCAAGAAAATCCTAGGTTAAGAATATCTCCATTTTTTAGAAGGGGAAATAGAGACTTGGAGAAGTTAATTTGTTCAAGTTGCACGGACCAGTTAAGTGCTGGAACTAATATTTGAACCCACATCTCATTTGTGCCACAGTTACTGTAGAAAACCAGAAGAAAGTGGAGGAAAAACACTTTAAGTGGGGGGAGGTCAAACACGGGACACCAAGAAGCTTCCTTAGCCCACTCAGCCCACTCAGGATAGACCCCCATTGTGGATTAGGGCTAAGGAAGAGGCGAGGGTCCATGGTTTAAAACAGACTTTCTCAGATATTTGACATTCAAATTGGTATGGTTTCTACTCCATGCAACAACAACAAAACTTTGGCAATCAAACATGTGTGTTTAAAATAATAAATGCCTCTTTTGTGATTAGAGGAAAACATGAACAAATTATGGCTTGTAATGTCTTTTCAAACTGTGAGTCGTAGGCCAAAGGCTTCTCTTCCAGTGCAAAAAAGTATCTATATTCCCACCATCCAGAGAAAGTCACTTAGACGAACATTTTGCTGTATGTGCCTTTATATATATGTGTGTGTGTATGAACTCATAAGCATATTTATATTCATGTAGATGTAAGCGTACAGACATTTTTTTAAAAAATGGTATCTTGGGGCACCTGTGTGGCTCAGTCCGTTGAGTGTCTGATTCTGGATTTCAGCTCAGGTCATGAGAGCAGGGTCATGAGGTCGAGCCCCGCTTCAGGCTTTGTGCTCGGTGCAGGGTCTGCTTAGTGTTCTCTCCTTCTCCCTCTGCTCCCCTCCCCCACCCCGAAATCTTTCTCTTTCTCTCAAATAAATAAATAAATAAATAATAAAATCTTAAAAAAATAAAAAATGGAATCTTACTTTGAATACCGTTTTATATCCTGCTTCTTCTACTTACGAGCAAACGATGGACTTCTTTTAATGCAATATATCTTATTAGAAATCTTGTTTTGTTTCCAGGCCTTTCCAAAGTTACCTTTTTTTCTTAAACTAGGGAGAAATTTTCTGAAGTACAAGAGCGGACACAGTGAACAGTAACTCTTCCTCCATCCTACCCCACCTCTTAAAAGACTTTATGTATTTGACAGAGAGAGTGCAGATTGAGAGAGAGTGAGCCCGAGCAGGGGGAGGGTCCTCCATGACCTGAGCCAAAGGCAGACGCTTAACCGCCTGAGCTACCCAGGTGCCCCTATCCTTCCGCTTGTAGAACCATACCCATCAGCCCTGGAATTACCCTCTGACTGGGGTTTCTGACCCACCAACCCCTAGGAAATATTTTCTGTCTCCCTAACTTAACCAGCAACAGCCTCTCCCGAGCTAGACCTTGCCTCTACCCGTTTCATGAGACCGGCCATTCACCCCAACTCTAAACACTGCCTAAGTAATTATATATTCCATCAGTTGTCTCAGCTCTCCTAAACCTTGGATTAAGTGCATAGAGCAAAACACGAGTCTTTAAATTATCTTGGCTACTAAAATCTCAGAATCAAGCTTTTTATACTGTGAGCAATTTGTATTGCTGAATTTGATAATTGCCTCATCCGTTTGAAAACAGACTAGTGGTCCGCATAGAGCAACAAGTTTTAGGTTGTATCATAAAGGTTGTTGGTTTTAAGGAAACCACTTTGGTTTGGAATCACCACTTCCGTGGCCTGACTTTGATCCCAGCCTCTGGGTCCTGCTGGTCTAAAGAGTCTGAAGCTTGTTTTGCAAGGGCAGGGTTCCCAGATGAGGGTTCTGACTAACTATATCTAGTCTACCGTTCCCTGTTCTTTCCTGCGCCTTCTCCATGAAACAGCTGACTCTAATTACTAATGCCCAGGACTAATCGACCATTCCCTCTCCTCCTTTCCATAAGCCCCTCTACTTCAGGGCTACTGAGGAGACTTCTCTGGTGGCTGTAGGGGCAAACTGTGGCCCACATTGCCATCAGTCCTTCCCACTGCTTGGGAACCCTACTCCAGGTATGTCTCCATCCCCTTGCCCCCACAATTGTGCTAAGCTGAGGGCAACTGTGTGCTGAAGTTTAGCCCAGTTATCAGTCAACGAACTTCTAGTTGGTTCTCTCTATACCCACAAAGAACAACCGTCATAACTGAGGTAAGAAAGCAAAGCCACAACCTGAAAGCAAAGAGACCTATTGTCTCCATCTGGTCTACCCATTGCTGCGATCACTCTACGCCACACCTGGGAGATGACCAGGCTGCTGCCATAGCCCATTTGGTTTTTTTTTTTTTTTTAATTTTTATTTATTTATTTGACAGAGAGATCACAAGCAGGCAGAGAGAGAGGAGGAAGCAGGTTCCCCTAGAGAGCAGAGAGCCCGAGGCGGGGCTCGATCCCAGGACTCTGAGATCATGACCTGAGCCGAAGGCAGCAGCTTAACCCACTGAGCCACCCAGGCGCCCCGCCCATTTGGTTCTTAACTCATCTTCCCTATTACTATGCTCAGGGATTCCAGTATCCGCAACCCCACCCTCCAATTCTGCCATGTTTTTCTTCTACCATTGCATCAAAGCTTCAGGGAAATAGAATCTTGTCTTCATAGCATATGTGAGGACCACTCTTAAATTAAGAAAGTTATGAGGAAAGAAGGCTTCATTCTACTGTGCTCTATTGACTTTATGATCATTGAATAATAAACAACCATGGCTTGGGAAGGATGCTTACAGTGTTTTGTGAAAATTTTGATCTATTTTCCCAACATGCCTGCTTCTCATTTCTTCCCTTGCCTCTGCCTTTTTTGCCTCCTTGGCCTGGAGGGGCTGTCACCACTGGTGAAATTTCTGACCAGTGTATCAAGCAGGTGCAGTCTCTTTAAACACTAAAAACATTGGCTCAAGAGACTGTTAAGTAGGCCAGCAAAGTATAGCTTACACTTGCTAAAATATAAAGGACATTTCTAGAATCAAGCATTCAATTAGGCAATCTTAAAACATGGTAGCCTAGGGGACACCTGGGTGGCTCAGTTGCTAAGCATCTGCCTTCAGCTCAGGTCATGATCCCAGGGTCCTGGGATCGAGCCCCACATCGGGCTGAATTGGAAGCCTGCTTCTCTCTCTCCCACTCCCCCTGCTTGTGTTCCCTCTTTCACGGTGTCTCTATCAAATAATAAATAAAATATTAAAAAAAAAACACATGGTAGCCTATGCGATCTTTGTGGTACGCTCTAAGAGGACATGTACCCTCCAAGATTTTTTTCCTTTTCTTCTCCCCCCTAAACTTCTTGAAGGATTAAGCAACGTGTTCTTTTTCTTGACGGTCTTCAGCTCACTGTAGTTGTTTTGTGAACTTAGTGAATCCGGCAATGAGGTAAAACAATAGTGAAATGCTGGGGGATGGTTGTTTCCCTTACGTATTTAAGCGTCCTGGAGGCAGAACTAATAAATATTCAGCAAATGATTAGCTGGTACATCCCCGCGTGCGTCTTTGCAGGTGCGTAACAGCTACCCTTTCACAAGCAGTTTTACTCAGTAGTACAAGTGTTCTGGCTGGACTCCGCACCTACCAGTATTGCGGTAATTAGTTTGGGATGCAAAATGATTTCTAAATTAAGGCTCTGGACTTGTAAAATCAAGAAAGGCTGACAATCAACGTCGTCACCCTAGTAGCCAGCGAGTAAAGGGATAAGTAACTAGGACAGGTCCTTTAACCACCCCACGTGCACACTAGAGTCCTACACAAGATGCAAGTGAAGACAGCCCCGCAGAGGCAGGTGGTAGGGTGGTCCGTGAGCGATGATTTACAAACACGCCCTTGCTCCTGTCCTGTGTAAGCAGCGCTGGGTGCGGGCTGAGGGTTCGGGCAGTTCAGGGCACGGCCAGCTGGAGGGACACAAAACCTGAGCATCGCGGCCGGGAGCACCGGCGGGTCCTGGAAGGTGGGGAAGGGCGAGCTTCGGAGCAGGTCGGACCGAGAGGCTGCGCGGGGCTCCGCGCAGGGAGCCGGACTTCTAGCAGGAGCGAGGGCGGCCGGGAGGCGGGCGCCCGGAGGGGGAGGATGAGCAGGGGAGTGGGAGGAAGCAGCGGGGAGAGCAGCGGGCAGAGCCGGAGAAGCGGAAGAAAAAGAGGAGGAGGACGAGAGGGAGGAGAGCGAGCGGAGGGCGGGGAGGAGAGGGAGGGAAAGGAGGAAAAGAAAAAGGCGGCGGAGAGCGGCCCGCCCCTCCCAGCGTCCTCCTCCGCTCCCCAAATCGGGCGGGCCCGGCCCAGGCCGCCGCCTCCCCTCCCGGGGCTGCGCGCAAAACGCGGAGGCGCAGACTCCCCGGGCGCGCGCGTTCGCCCGCGCCCCCGTGGCTCCCGCGCTCCGGGCATGCGCGGTGGGCGGCGCCGCTCCGGGCCGCCTCTGCCGCCGAGAGTAGGAAGCGCGAGCGCCGGGCGCTGGGCTGTCAGTGAGCGCGGGGCCAGCCAGCCAGCCAGCCCGCGAGCGGCTCCGGCTCCCGCGCCCGCTCCGGCCCGACTCTCCCCGGCCGCCGCCGCCGCCGCCGCCGCGACCGCGACCGCCGGCCCGCGCCCCCCGCCCCCCGCCCGGGGTCGCCCGTCGCCCCGCCGCCCCTCCCCCGCCCGCCCCCGCCCCCCCGGCGTCCCCGGCTGCTGCTGCTCCCCGGCGGAGGCAAGAGGTGGTTGGGGGGACCATGGCTGACGTTTTCCCGGCCAACGACTCCACGGCGTCTCAGGACGTGGCCAACCGCTTCGCCCGCAAAGGGGCGCTGAGGCAGAAGAACGTGCACGAGGTGAAGGACCACAAATTCATCGCCCGCTTCTTCAAGCAGCCCACCTTCTGCAGCCACTGCACCGACTTCATCTGGTAGGTGCGCGCGGGCCGGGGCGCACGGCGGCCGCCAGGACCCCCTCCTCCCCCCCCCCCCCGGGGCGCCCCGGGCTGGGGGCCCGTCCCTCTCCAGTCCGGGTCCCTGCATCCCGGGGATCCTCGCTCGGGCGCGCCCACTCTGGGCCTGACTCACTCGGGGAACTTGGGAGAGAGCCGGCCGAGTCCGAACTCTCGCCCGGAACGACGCGCGCGCGCGTCGGGGACACTCGCGGGCAGGACTCCCGGGGAAGTCGGCGCCGGGTCACACACCCCCTGCCGCAGGGGGGAGGCTGGCCCCGCGCCGCAGCGACACCGATCGCCTCCGCGGGTCCCCTCCGTCTCCCCGGCGCACCCGCCCTTCTGTACGGACAGGGGAACGCCGCTCGCTGGGTGTGAGCAAAGGGAAGAGCGAGAAAGAGAATCCAAAGGGCAGAGTTTCCCGGAGAAACGCCCGGAGTAACGGGGGGAGCGGCGGCGATTGCGCCGCGAGGTCCAAGTTAGAGACGAGCAGGGCTGGGCGCCTTAGTGGGGGAGGGAGGGGGATGGGGGGTGTTGTTTCCCAGCGGGCTTGGACTCCTCTGGGACCTTGGGTCCTTGCCTACTGTAGCTTGTATCTGCTGGGCACGGGAGACCGGACTCGTCTGGGTGAGCCCAGGGAGAGCGGAGAGGCAGCAAACTGTTGAAAGCTTGCCGTGGGGGAGGGGGAATTAAAACCGAGCAGGCAAATGGCAGAAGGGCAGAGGGAGTCATTTAAAATAGACCCTGTCGACACGAGATTAGACCTGCAGCCCGGTAGATGAGGACAGAGGCCCTAGTTAAGAAAACTACTGTAAGGCGTCGGAGTTCAGGTACAGAGTTTACAGTGAATGCCGGCATTGTGAGTCCAGGGGTTTGGGGCGGGGGGGGGGGGACGGATAAAGGGATGGTCTCCGGGGGTCTTTGAACCCTGCGAAACTAGGCAGAACTGTATATACCCTTTTCTGGTGAGAGCTAATGGCTCTTACTCTCAAAACATCGGTGACACCCCCCCCCCGCCTCGAAAAATACCCCCAAAGTTTAAAGCTGAACCTCAGGGAACCCCAGGTGCTCTAGTGTGAGCATTAAGGAGTTTTTCTTCCTCAGGTTGGCAGATACCCGGGCTTTTTCTATCTCCTCTTCCTGAATGTAGGTGGGAAACTCCAAGTCAGAGCTATGGCGACTGCGGGGACAGTGCCACTAACCCTCCCGGTGGCATGTATCTTGTTGGGGCCCTAGGCAGAACTTATGGATAGCTGTGTGAATCCATCACCCCCCCGCCCCCCACCAACCCTGGAGGAAACAACTCCAAGGGTAAAGTCCAGAAATGTGATGCTAATAAGATGCTTAACTTTTCCTTTATGGATGGCATCTGAGTTCACCACACCTGGGGAAATCATGAGCCCCGCAGATGTGCTCATAAGGAGCTTAATTTTTTCCTTTATGGGTGACATTCTCTGAATCCATCACATCTGGAGGAAATCGCTTCTAAGGGTCCCACAAAGGTGCTATGATGCTTAACTTTTCCTTTATGGATGGCTATTCGGTACCTGGGGAAAGTGTCTGTAAGGGAGAGTCCCCCACAGACAATACTAAACGAGGTGCATTTTCCTTTCCTTTTTAGAAATCTCAGAAGTGTTTTCACAAAAAGCACAGACACCTCTGCGAATGATTTTCCCTGTAGTCAGCATATGAAGCAGTTGTGCTCAAAGTAACTGTAGATAAGGCTAGCTAAAAATTCTTGGAGCATCAGGGCAAGAGATTACTGCATCTAGTTAAGGGGACATCTTCAGCCTCCCATGCCAATTGGGAGATCTCATAAAAAGGGAACACTGAGACTCTGGACTACTTTGGGGGGAAAGTAGATGAATTAGGAAAGGTACCTGCAACATACATAACCAGGCTAGCCAAGGTCTTTCCACTATCAGTTGCTCTAAAGGATTGAGCCCCTGGTGACCTGCTATGGCACTTCAGGTCAGGTGTAATGTGAAGTGGAAAATAAAGGTCTCCCTGTCAGCTTCCTCCCTGAGTAATTCCTGTAATGCTTCTCCACCTAACCAGAAACTACTTGAAAGTTCCGAGAAAATACCAGGATCGTCTAGCAGTGGTTTTAACTTCAGTTGTCTTTCATTGTGCCTGTAGGTCCTTAATTTACAAGTTTGTTCTAAATATCAAAATACTGATACTTTAAAACTATAAGTGTTTGGGCTTACGTGTGTTTGGGGGAATGACTAAGTTATAAAGATATATGAAGTGCTTTGTCAACTTAAAATGCTATGTAAAGCAAGAGATCATGTCTAAGAATTGTAATGTGTTCATCATAGTCGAAACAGTGTTTACAATTTTATGTCCCTGCTAGGGCTCTCTGCTCAGAGAATAAATCTTCTAAAGTAATTTACCAGAACAAAATAGCTTCTGTATTTGCTTTGAATGTTACTGATGCTCTAAAAAAATTAGATCGTTAACTTCAGATACAACCAATAAAAATAATACTTTGTGAAATATGGCTCCTTTTAAACCAAAATTTAATGTGAGGTAGTACCGATTGGCGGTTTCTAGACACCTATTTGAAGTACCTTCATAACAAATGAAGCCACTTTTTAGTTGCGTTTAGGGAGAAAAAGGATTTTCATTTTGTCTTTAGGGACAAAATTGAAGCACTTCCTTCAACCGTAAAGTCTTTATTTGTTGAATGTTATACCAACTCTGAATATCATAGTCATGTTCTCGTCTGGAAACTTAAGTATCATTAACAAAGTGTGAACTGGAAAGAACCTTGATACATTGAAATAATTTAATGAGGCTTTGAAGGCTATACAGAGTCCCCCCCCCCAAAGTTGAATTTATTCAGTACTCTATCTAGGCATGTTTTTGCTATCGAATCATTGCTTTTCATGTACAAACCCTTATTCTATTGAATACTTTTACTCATAATTGGCTTAAAATATGGTATACAACACAAAATATGTTAAGATACTTTGTTGTTTCTGTTTTTCAGGGGGTTTGGGAAACAAGGCTTCCAGTGCCAAGGTAAGCTGCCACGTTGGATTTTATTTTCAAGTACAACACGAAATAAGCATTCCAAACAGGAACAGTATTTCTAGTCGTCTTTGTGATCCAAAAAAAAAAAAAAAAAAAAGCTTAGATATTTTCAAAATGAGGTCTGTAAATTTGGGCCGTTAAAAAAAAAATCGTATCGCCTAGTAATCTGCATATGGAGCTGCCTTTTTCTCATTGAAAAAAAACCTTCCTGTAACTTTATTTTTTGCCAAGAACATTCTTGTCAGAAACTGCTGTCTTTGTGTGGGTGTTGAGGAAAAGAAATGGAATCACTTTGTATTCATGTGGCTTTTCTTGTTCTTGCTCGTTTTTTTGTTCTTTATCTCTTACCTCTGTATCGGGTTGGACTCATCGTTACTAATCTTAGGCCGCACATCACTGTAGTGATTTTGTGTTTTTAATTACTGATTATTGTTCAGAACAAAGTTAACACATTTTAAAGTTACCTAGATTATAATGTATTGCTGTGCTAGGAGGCATGTTTTTTCCTTTAGGGTGAATGTGACCTTTAATGAGTATACATACTACTGATTGCATCTGAAAAGAAATCCATTTATTTCCACCTTAGAGCTGTAGTCCTTTTTTATACACGTCAAGTATCTCATTTCTTATACTCTCCCTCTATTTGTTTAAACTTAATACTTTGTACCTTGCGAAGGCATCCCAGGGTCTTAGTGCACCTTTTAGCTCTCCTCACTATATTATGTTTGTTTAGTTCTGGTTACATTTCCCATCTGGGCGTCGGTTTATTAGGGCAAGTGGAAAGTGTATTTTTCAACGTGGAAAATATTATCCTAATGCTGTTTAATGGTAAGCGCATTAGGGAGACACTGTGTACTTATAACTCAAAAATTGGGCAAGTTGGTTTAACTTCTAAAGTTCTTCAAATTCATGAACTTGTTTCTTAGAATTTCTAAATCTGTTTTCAATGCATGTATTTTATGGTGTAATATTCTACCTTCACCAGGTGCTTCAAACCCCTATTGAATAAAAATCAGTAACGTTGGGAGATCAAGAGCTATTCCTTTAAAGAATAAAGAGAACAGCGCGTTGCATCCCTCTTTATAAGAGATGAAAGGAAGGTGGAGCTCTTCACATTTCTTAGTTGTGGACTTGAACTTACATTAGGCAATGTTTGGCTCGTGGCTTGAAATGTGATTTTTTTAAAAAGAAGTTTAAACGTGGAAAGTGTGGTTCTGGGCAACTGTGATTTGCGTCTATCGTTTGTTGTAATATTTGGGTGGAGACCTATGGGAACATAAGAATTCTTGTTGGAGAGAAAGGGGGCATGTTAAACTTTACCATTTCTTACGTACTGAGACTTCAGGATAAGGTTGGTCTCTTTTCGACCTGCTTGTTGGAGGCCGTTTTGTTAGTGAAATCAGAGTGGCTATATCAGGGGCACAAGGGGGGCCTACATGATCCCCCCCCAAGACTGTATGGACGTTTTTGAGTGGCTCAGCAGATTAATAGTCTTATGTTGGCATAACTCCCATAAAGTAAAAAGTGAAATTCTATCCCCTTCTCTCTTCCTCAGGGTAAGTTCTTTTTAAGTTATCCATTCACTCATAGCTTTAAGAGATCAAAATTTTAAATCCCGCCATTTGGCCCCCCCCCCCATATATCCTTCCCTGAATTGCCTTTAATTCTTGAAATTTAGTTTTTATAAACTAAACAAAATACAGCAGTGGCGATGTACTTTATGCACTGTTGTTTGAAGAAGTAAACCAGAGGTCTCCTTACATGAGTTTCTGTATTGCACCTACAAGTCTTAAATCATAAACTACTTCATATACAACCTATTTGTGTCCTGCTATCTGCTTGCCACATAACACATGTTTAGCATGTGACCTCTGTATCTGACTTCGAGTAAGCACATGCTGATTATCTTATAACTTCTGGATGTTAGCTCAGGACAGTGCTTTCTAATTGCACAAGTATACAGTTACCTAACACTTCCATTTTAGCATTCTCCAAAGTACTAACATCTGGCCATTTTGAAGTTGGCTTCATGCCCAGCATGGAGCCCAACGTGGGGCTTGAGATCAAGACCTGGCTGAGACCAAGAGTTGGGCCCTTGACCTACTGAGCCACGTAGGCGCCCCTAACATCTGACCATTTTAGACTACATTTAAGTTAGAATATACTTGTTTTCTCTTAATGTTCTCCATCTTAAAATCTTTCCTGCTCTCTTTGATAGTCCCATTCTTCCAGGGAGTATCTCCTTCTCATCCTGTGCTTTTGGCAACATACCCTCTGGAGATGGTAGCTGGGGGTGACTCTCTTACTCCTTATCTGTTTTCTCACCCGATGGAGGCAGCAACTTCTAGCTCCCCGTGTGTAGTATGTCCCTTTGGTCAGGCGCGGTATCTGCAGCTAAGTATACTTTAGAGAGGCGCGTATGTTCCAAATGAGTCACCACCTCATGGGAGCTGGCTTTTAAAATAGTCGTTATTTCACGGAGTCTTCCAGTTCTTAACATTGACTCAAGATGTGAGGTGTCATCCTTCAAAACTGGGTTTCTGATCTGTGCTATGTAGACAGCCTTTTATAAGCACATAAAGATTTTCCCCCCTGCTTCTTCTCTTCCCCGAGATGCAGTCTGAGTGGAAACAGGGAAACTTTTCTGAAGATCTCTTGGATTGTACTTCATGGACACTGTGTCCTTTAGACTGCAGGCTGGGTGGGCAGCCCTGAAAAAGTGAGTATTACCTGGGCAGGTCACCCAGGAGGGTCCCACTGTGAACATTTGCTGCCCCAAATACTGAAATCAGGGGCCATAAACACTGGGGAGAGCAAAGAGGAGTGTAGAGCAGATCCAGAGGCCATGAAATAATTCTCTTAAGATTCTTAGAGCTTGTCCCTTTGTAGATCTGAAATACCCCCAGGACAGAATTTGCCTTTTGATTTTTGTTTGGCTTTGCATTCTCTTGGTTTGCTTGATCTACTCAGAGCTAATTTCCTCTTGTAAGTCTAGCCGAGAGCAGGGCCCCGCCCACAGCCTATTTCCCCCTCCTCCCACCAGGAAAGATTTGTCTGATCTGGTCATTGATGAAGTTGAGATTCCAGCCTGGAAGGTCTGTCTCCTGTCTGTAGTCTTGTGTGGCTGGGGCTTCCAAAAACTCTTGTCCTGGGAAGCACAGCCACCTGCCACGCTGCTCGAGTCTTGTCTTCCTCTGAGGCAGTGGAGCCAAAATGGTCTTATCTATTACTTTCATCACTGGAAAAGGGAAAGAGCCAACTTGATCCCCCCCTCAACAGGACTGGCACACTTCTCAAATTTCAGTGATAGAAACGGCCTCCAAATGTGCCCTGCTTACTTGATGTGCCAAGTAACTTACCTAGCCTGATAGATCGGATTCATCTTAGCATGTTTTTCCTGCCTTTTTCCCTATTCTTTAATGTCACAAATCAAAATGAACAACCAAGCTAGGATCTTTAGGATACCCTAGAGACCACATCAGAATCCATCCCCACCTATGACCATGATCAGGGGAGGACTGTGGCTCAGAATGATCAACACTGGATATTTGGCGGGGAGGGGGTCTGCAGGGAATCAAATGCATACTTGTGACTTAAGGATGCTGCTCTGAATCCGTTCTGAACCCGGAGCCTTTTCTCTAAGCACACCCCAAATATTGTATTTAACCTGTGACTCCAACCGAAGCTGTTTTCCAGCAGTTAGGGGTTAAACGGTTTCCCTCAGCCTTTGACAGTCCATTATGAAGGCATGTTTCAGGGTAGATCTTTCTATCAGCTCACCTGAATGGGATGGTGTTTCTTATCCCTTCTATAAGAATGAAGGTTGATTGGGGTGCCTGGGTGGCTCAGCAGGTTAAAGTCTCTGCCTTCAGCTCAGGTCATGGTCTCAGGGTCCTAGGATCGAAGGAGCCCTGCATCAGGCTCTCTGCTCGGCAGGGAGCCTGCTTCCTCCTCTGTCTCTGCCTGCCTCTCTGCCTACTTGTGATCTCTGTCTGTCAAATAAATAAATAAAATCCTTTTAAAAAATGGAAGTTGATGTTTGAGAGGGGGAAAAGAAGTTCCTCTCCCCTCCCCCTCATGGCTGTGTAAGCAAAGGAATTCCAGAAAACCAGGCTGATTTAAGGGAGGGTGACCTTTAACAGAGGGGATGGAGTTTGGCAGCTTTTCACAAAAGGTTGTCTAGTTATCACAGCTTACGGGATGCTTATAGGATGCTGGGAGCCAAGCAGAGTGGACACCAAGTGCCAGGATATAGAAGGGGGGCTGAAGTCTGGGTAAATAGAATGCCTTTAACAGACTTGTCCTTACGTCCTGGATCAGCCCTCCTAAACTAGCAACAATCCGCTGATTTTTACAGTTGACACCAGGGGTTTCCATCTTCAGACCTGGGGTTAGCATCTCAACACCCCATTTCTCGCTGGTTACTCCTCAGACTGGAAGCTGTGCGAACGATAAGTGAGCTCCCGGGGTCATCAGTGCAATTCCGGGAACACCAATCCACGGAAAGGTGTAATTTGAAATTCTGGCGCTTTTGCGCTGAGGTCCGATCAAAGTATTATTTCCACTCCAAAGATGAAATTGTTCAGGAATACCTAAAACAGAAGCGTGGTAGAGATGGGCATTTGGAACTGCTTTTGCTTCCAACACTTTCTTCCTTCGCAAAAATGCACAAATACTGGTAAAAGCGGGGACCTATGGCCAGAACTGCCCGGGATTCACGTTTGGTGCTCCATCCTTGTTCGGAAACAATTTCTCATTAATGGCTTTCCGAATTGCTACTTTCTCTTAGTGCATTAAGTGCAAGCATTCTGTTTTACTCACACACCCCCTGCCAGAACCAGATGCTGTAGCCTGTGGAGGGTTGGTTCCTCTTTCTAAGCAGTAGGAATCCTAATACTTTTGCAGGTAAATCTAACACGGGAGGTTCTGCTTTAATTTTATGATGAAACGATTTTACTACGCTCTGAGTATCTCACTCTCCTAAATAA